CCCAAGGGGGAGCCCCCCAAAAAAAAATTTTTCCCCCCCCCCCCCGATAAAAAAAAATGGAAAATGGGGTTGGGGGGGTTCTTTGGCTTTTTAAAAAAAACCCCCGGGGTGGCCCCCCCCCCCCCCCCCCCCCCCCCTTTTTCCCACGGGGTAGGAGGGAACCCCGCCCCTTCCCAACCCAACCCCCCCCGGCCCAAAATCCATTTCCCCCCCCCCCCCCCCCCCCCCACGCGTTACGAACGCACAACAAACGACGGCTACGACACACAGAGGCCGTGGAGGGTCACAGCCGCAACTGGCACGAGGTGATCGAGTTCGGGTCTCGCCTGGCCCTCGGGGGCCCCGCGATTGGCGCTGTCATCGGCATCATGGGGGCGTTCGTCCTCGGCTACGTGATTAACGACGCCCTGGTGGAGGTGTCCCTGACGGTGCTCCTGGCCTTCTCCACCTTTGCACTCTGCGAAGCCACCCGCGTGAAGGTGTGCTAGGTTTGGGGGGCAGGTCTAAGTGCTATGCAATCTCTTGTGTGTTTGTGTGTGTGTGTGTTTTTTTTTTTTTTCAGTATGCAGTTATCCTCACTCAACGCGTCTATGTATGTGTCCGGCAATCTCCGAAGTTTGTCATCCCGTGAGGTGTCCGTGTCCATCTTTACTCAACTCAAAGCGTCTACTACTGTCAGCCAACCTCAGTAGGGGTCATTGTCAGTCAATCATTTGGTGCAAATCACGCCGCCAAGCTTCACTTGAGCCCCTACCCCCTCGTATCCCCCAGGTGTCAGGTGTTCTCGGCATCGTGGCCTGCGGGGTGGTGCTGTCGTACTACGGTAAGCCGCGAGTCTCGTCGCCGGTGCTGCCGTCGCTCATGGACTTCTGGAAGACGCTCCAGTTCTTCGCGGACACCACCATCTTCTTCTTGTCAGGTATTGCTGCCGTTGGGGGTGTTTTCGACGTCGTTGTTGTTGTGGTGCTCGGTTCTGTCATGTTGCCGTTGGTGTTGTTGATGATGTCGCCTTTCTGTAGAAACTTGAACGCTGTTCGGCTCAAAGTGAGCATGACGTGTAGCACATTTGGGAGAAATGTTCTCCCTTCAAAGATGCAAATGCGGGTCTGTCCGGTCTCCAGCCCAGATCGTGATTGTTGTTTGTTGTCGTTGTCGTCGTCATCGCCCTTGTTTTGTGTGGATGATGGTCGGGCGTTGCTGCTGCTGCGGCGTCGGGTGCTGTTGCATACACCATCGCGATCCACGCGACTGTATGCTCTCCAACCGATTTCTACTTTTCCAGGGCTGATCGTGATCGGTGTCGCCGTCAACGAGGACCGGGCCATCAACGCTGCGGACTTCGGCTACCTCATTGCCCTCTTCATTGCCCTCTACATCATCCGTGGCCTCGTCATCCTTACCGCCTACCCGGTGCTCCGATCCGTGAGTGCCACACGCACACATCCCCGTTCGTCGGCAGAGGAGAGCTATTTGCCGCCCCTCTGTCTCCCTCGAGTTGCTCTGCTAAATGGTACCGTATGTATCTCCTCGTCTATCGGTCACTCGTCGGAACGACTCACCTACGGGGTTTTTGTTCCGTCTTTTGGTAGGTTCCCAGTCCGTTCGTGCATCCCTCACGTAAACAGTTTTTGAGTTCAAGAAGTAGTCTATCATAGTGTTGCTGCTATCGCGTGTTCTTCCTGCTCTCGCTTTGCATTTGTTGCGCTCCTTGCCCACAGCCGCGTACACGGGACCCGGCTGGATGAGTCGTGTGTAATGGCCCTGGAGCTTCCCTGCTGTCTCGGGCGTAGCAAAACTGGATAAAGTGACTATTGTTAGTAGATTCCCCAAGAACAATGAAGGAAAGAAAACCTAGGGTTACTTCCGCCTTGGCATCCTCTCCACGGTTTGACCTGTCGTATATCGACGTGCGCGTCCGCCCCTCCCCCCACCCCGCGCTCGGAACGCCACGTGAACAAACGCGCAGGGCGAGTACAAGATCAGTGTGCCGCAGATGATCGTCCTAACTCACTCCGGTCTTCGAGGTGCCGTCGCCCTCATCCTGGCGCTTGTCGTGGACGGTGCGGTTCCTCTCTTTGTAGCATTTTTTTTTGTTTCCGAGCCTGTTTGGCTGATGCGGTTGCTGCTGCTACTGCTGCTGTTCTCATTGTTGTTGGTGCTGCTGCTGCTGTTGCTGTTTACTTGCAATGGCGGTTGTCGTGCCACACCGCCCAAACGAAGTCAAGGTGTTGGTGCGACACGAAATCGGCCGCAACATCCCAGCACACACGGGACTACGTACCAGAATAGGAAAGCATGGCGATTTTGTGAACGGGTCCTTCTGCCCTCCGTGCTGCTGTGTGTGATTTCCGATGGTGTTGCGGCTGTGTTTGTGTTGCCTCTGCCGTGCTGCTCGAAAGGTGTGCACGAGATCGACCAGGAGGACAGGGACAAGATCGTCTTTCTCACCGCCGGTATCGCGGTGCTGTCCCTCCTCGTCAACGGTACCACCACGGGGCCCCTAGTGCGCTTCCTCAAGCTCGACAGGTAAAGAACAGGCGCGACCTCTTATCTTTATTTGGTGCACTCCGGGGCGGTCTCGTTTGTTTTTTTTTTCTTGTCGGGGCATTTGTTTTTGTACGATTGCGTACGGAGATTCTTGCTTCCACTGTTTGCGGCGGTAGGGATGGCGGCTTCGCGGAGGCCCGTCTCGGTGACGCGGCACAAGCTATGCAGTTCGATCTTGCTTGACCTCTGCGACACTGCACCGGAGGGCGGTGAAGAATTCGGCTGATTCATCGTGTTGTTGTGTAGAGCCGGGTGAGGCCCTTCGCCCTGCGATACTGCACCCCAAAGTACGTTCATAGGTTCGCGGAGAGATTGATCGCTTTGACGCCACGTAAGAAACCGATTCAAGGTCCGCCTGCTCAAACTCAAGCTGCAAGCCTGCGCAACGTCAACGTCAGGAAGGACGATCTTTGGAGATAGTAATGTTCCGTCCCTTAAAAAGTAGCGCTCGCGCTTGGGATATGATCCGATGGCCCGCCCCAAACGCTAATGAACCCGCGTCCATCCACGTCTTGAGGCGGGCCACCCGATCATGTCCAAAGCACGAGCGCTACCGTTTCGAGGGAGGGATTGGAACTATCTCCGAAGCTCGTCCTTCTGACGTTGCGCGGGCGTCGCAGTTGAATCTTGGCGTTTGATGAGGCTGACTTCGAGCGTGTGTCTGGACTTGTGTCAAGCTCCAGAACCGATTCGAGGTCAGCGTGCGCAAACTCAAGCTGCAAGCCTGCGCAACGTCAAGGTCAGGAAGGACGATCTTTGGAGGTAGTAATGTTCCGTCCCTTAAAAAGTAGCGCTCGCGCTTGGGATACGATCCGATGGCCCGCCCCAAACGCTAATGAACCCGCGTCCATCCACGTCTTGAGGCGGGCCACCCGATCATGTCCAAAGCACGAGCGCTACCTTTTCGAGGGAGGGATTGGAACTATCTCCGAAGCTCGTCCTTCTGACGTTACGCGGGCGTCGCAGTTGAATGTTCACGTTTGATGAGGCTGACTTCGAGCGTGTGTCTTGACTGTTGTTCGTTAGTGTCAAGCTCCAGAACCGATTCGAGGTCAGCGTGCGCAAAATCAAGCTGCAAGCCTGCGCAACGTCAACATCGGGAAGGACGATCTTTGGAGGTAGTAATGTTCCGTCCCTTAAAAAGTAGCGCTCGCGCTTGGGGTACGATCCGATGGCCCGCCCCAAACGCTAATGAACCCGCGTCCATCCGCGTTTTGAGGCGGGGCATCCGATCATTTCCAAAGCACGAGCACTACCTTTTTTGAGGGAGGGAATCGAAGTATCTCCGAAGCTCGTCCTTCTGACGGTACGCGGGCGTCGCAGTTGAATGTTCACGTTTGATGAGGCTGACTTCGAGCGTGTGTCTTGACTGTTGTTCGTTAGTGTCAAGCTCCAGAACCGATTCGAGGTCAGCGTGCGCAAATTCAAGCTGCAAGCCTGCGCAACGTCAACATCGGGAAGGACGATCTTTGGAGGTAGTAATGTTCCGTCCCTTAAAAAGTAGCGCTCGCGCTTGGGGTACGATCCGATGGCCCGCCCCAAACGCTAATGAACCCGCGTCCATCCGCGTTTTGAGGCGGGGCATCCGATCATTTCCAAAGCACGAGCACTACCTTTTTTGAGGGAGGGAATCGAAGTATCTCCGAAGCTCGTCCTTCTGACCTTACGCGGGCGTCGCAGTTGAATGTTCACGTTTGATGAGGCTGACTTCGAGCGTGTGTCTGGACTTGTGTTCGTTAGTGTCAAGCTCCAGAACCGATTCGAGGTCAGCGTGCGCAAAATCAAGCTGCAAGCCTGCGCAACGTCAAGGTCAGGAAGGACGATCTTTGGAGGTAGTAATGTCCCTTCCTTTAAAAAGTAGCGCTCGCGCTTGGGGTATGATCCGATGGCCCGCGCCAAACGCTAATGAACCCGCGTCCATCCGCGTTTTGAGGCGGGGCACCCGATCATGTCCAAAGCACGAGCGCTACCTTTTCGAGGGAGGGCATCGAAGTATCTCCGAAGCTCGTCCTTCTGACGTTACGAGGGCGCCGCAGTCGAGTCTTGGCGTGTTGTGTTACCGCAAGAGGCGGAAGTGTTGGAACCCCCCACAGGCTGATTTTCAGAGCTCGATAGCCCAACAACCAAGAATGTGCCAACACCACGAAATGGTGGGTTTCGGAAAGATGTCGTTGAGGGCTGTCCGTCGCGACGTATCAGGCTGTGGAGCAATCCAGCTCTGAAAGTCGGTGTAGGGGAGGTGACATGTCTCCTCCTCTTGCGGTAGGTAGCGATCGCGCTCCGGAACTGATTCGAGGTCAGCGTGCGCAAACTCAAACTGCAAGCCTGCGCAACGTCAACGTCGGGAAGACGATACCCGGTCATACGTCTTTTCCCTTCCTTAAAAAGTAGCGCTCGCGCTTGGGATATGATCCGATGGCCCGCCCCAAACGCTGATGAGCCCGCGTCCATCCGCGTTTTGAGGCGGGACATCCGATCATTTCCAAAGCACGAGCGCTACCTTTTTGAGGGAGGGAATCGAAGTATCTCCGAAGCTCGTTCTTCTGACGTTACGCGGGCGTCGCAGTTGAATGTTCACGTTTGAGGAGGCTGACTTCGAGCGTGTGTCTGGGGTTGTGTTCGTTAGTGTCAAGCTCCAGAACCGATTCGAGGTCAGCGTGCGCAAACTCAAGCTGCAAGCCTGTGCAACGTCAAGGTCAGGAAGGACGATCTTTGGAGGTAGTAATGTTCCTTCCTTTAAAAAGTAGCGCTCGCGCTTGGGATACGATCCGATGTCTCGCCCCAAACGCCAATGAACGCGCGTCCATCCACGTTTTGAGGCGGGGCACCCGATCATTTCCAAAGCACGAGCGCTACCTTTTCGAGGGAGGGCATCGAAGTATCTCCGAAGCTCGTCCTTCTGACGTTACGAGGGCGCCGCAGTTGAATTACTGAAGGTTGAGGAGGCTGGTTTCGAGGGTGTCCTGGGCTTTTGTTCGTTAGTGTCAAGCTCCAGAACCGATTCGAGGTCAGCGTGCGCAAACTCAAGCTGCAAGCCTGCGCAACGTCAACGTCGGGAAGACGATACCCGGTGTGACGTCTTTTCCCTTCCTTAAAAAGTAGCGCTCGCGCTTGGGATATGATCCGATGTCTCGCCCCAAACGCTAATGAACCCGCGTCCATCCGCGTTTTGAGGCGGGGCACCCGATCATTTCCAAAGCACGAGCGCTACCTTTGTGAGGGAGGGCACACTATCTCCGAAGCTCGTTCTTCTGACGTTTCGCAGGCGCCGCAGTTGAATTGAATTATTGAAGGTTGAGGAGGCTGGTTTCGAGGGTGTCCTGGGCTTTTGTTTGGTGGCGATCAAGCTCCAGAACTGTTTGAGGTCAGCGTGCTCAAATTCAAGCTGCAAGCCTGCGCAACGTCAACGTCAGAATGGACGATCTTTGGAGATAGTAATGTTCCGTCCCTTAAAAAGTAGCGCTCACGCTTGGGGTATGATCCGATGTTCCGCCCCAAACGCTAATGAACGCGCGTCCATCCGCATTTTGAGGCGGGGCACCCGATCTTGTCCAAAGCACGAGCGCTACCTTTTTGAGGGAGGGAATCGAAGTATCTCCGAAGCTCGCCCTTCTGACGGTACACGGGCGCCGCAGTGGAGTCTTGACGTTAAGGAGGCTGTCTTTGAGCGATCAAGCTCCCCGAGTTCTCAAGGGCGGAGTTTGGGGTGCCACAGACCGATAGACATTGCCCGGCTATACACGACACGTTGTTTCAGTCGCGTTATCACCGCCCTGCGGCACAGTAGGCGTGCGCTCGAGCCTCACACAGTAGCAGGAGTGTGAGGCAGAAGAATCGGCCGTCTTTGGGTTCATGTGAGGGTATTGACTTGTTGCTTCGAGGGCCTCCCAGGGCGTTCCTGCTGTGTCTGCAGTATACTAGGGATTTATTGCAGCATTCGAGGCGCTCCCTCAGCATCAGTGCCGAGAAGATGCTGTAGCAAGTCCTGTCGACGAGAATAAATCCAGCGTTGTTGCAGGTATTCAGAATCTCGGGTCCAAGATAGACACAGCTGGGCAGCCAGTGGGTGGCACATGTTGTGGGATACCGATGTAGCTCAACGTCTCGGACAACGACGAATTATTTGTGTAGAGAGCTGATCCTCGCCCCCCCCCCCCCCCACCCCCCCCCCCCCCCCATTTTTTTTTTTTTTTTTT